AATGAAGGGAAAGGAATAAAATCCAAATTTCTTCCTTTGGGATTCTGCCCTGAGCTGGCTTGAACTTCCCATCCTGATTTCCAGAAAATAAGGAAAATATTTTTTATGTCACAAAATGTAGGAGAATCCATGCTGCTGCTCCTGGGGTTAAAATTGGATTTTGTGCCTGGAGTTTTGTGTCCTGGTGCTGCTCCTGAGTGACAATGAAAGGAGGGAATAAAATCCAAATTTCTTCCTTTGGGATTCTGCCCTGAGCTGGCTTGAATTTCCCATCCTGATTTCCAGAAAGTCTAGAAAATAAGGAAAATATTTTTTTATGTCACAAAATCTTGGAGAATCCATCCTGCTGCTCCTGGGGTTAAATTCAGATTTTGTACCTGGAATTTTGTGCCTGGAATGTTCTGGTGCTGCTCCTGAGTTTCAATGAAAGGAGGGAATAAAATCCAAATTTCTTCCTTTGGGATTCCGCCCTGAGCTGGCTTTAAATTCCCATCCTGATTTCCAGAAGGTCTAGAAAATAAGGAAAATATTTTTGCATGTGCCAAAATGTAGGAAAGTCCAACCTGCTGCTCCTGGGGTTAAATTCAGATTTTGTGCCTGGATTTTGTGTCCTGGTGCTGCTCCTGAGTGACCATGAAGGGAAAGGAATAAAATCCAAATTTCTTATTTTGGGATTCTGCCCTGAGCTGGCTTTAAATTCCCATCCTGATTTCCAGAAGGTCTAGAAAATAAAGAAAATATTTTTTTATGTCCCAAAATGTAGGAGAATCCATCCTGCTGCTTATGGGGTTAAAATTGGATTTTGTGCCTGGAATTTTGTGCCTGGATTTTGTGTCCTGGTGCTGCTCCTGAGTGACAATGAAGGAAAGGAATAAAATCCAAATTTCTTCCTTTGGGATGCTGCCCTGAGCTGGCTTGAACTTCCCATCCTCTTTTCCAGAAGGTCCAGAAAATTAGGAAAACATGTCCCAAAATCTTGGAGAATCCATCCTGCTGCTTATGGGGTTAAAATTGGATTTTGTGCCTGGATTTTGTGTCCTGGTGCTGCTCCTGAGTGACAATGAAGGGAGGGAATAAAATCCAAATTTCTTATTTTGGGATTCTGCCCTGAGCTGGCTTTAAATTCCCATCCTGATTTGCAGAAAATAAGGAAAATATTTTTTTATGTCACAAAATCTTGGAGAATCCATCCTGCTGCTTCTGGGGTTAAAATTGGATTTTGTGCCTGGAATTTTGTGTCCTGGTGCTGCTACTGAGTGACAATGAAGGGAAAGGAATAAAATCCAAATTTCTTCCTTTGGGATTCTGCCCTGAGCTGGCTTTAGATTCCCATCCTGATTTCCAGAAAATAATGAAAATATTTTAATATGTCACAAAATCTTGGAGAATCCATCCTGCTGCTTCTGGGGTTAAAATTGGATTTTGTGCTTGGAATTTTGTGCCTGCAATGTTCTGGTGCTGCTCCTGAGTGACAATGAAGGAAAGGAATAAAATCCAAATTTCTTCCTTTGGGATGCTGCCCTGAGCTGGCTTTAAATTCCCATCCTGATTTCCAGAAAATAAGGAAAATATTTTTCTATGTCCCAAAATCTTGGAGAATTCATCCTGCTG